AGGAGTGACGGCGGGGAGGGTGAGGACCACCCCTCCCGGAGAGCTCCGGCACCTCCCGGCGGCGTGGGGGACACAGCGGGCGTGGGAGGGGGCGAGGTCCCGACTGTCCCCCCCCCCGCGGAGTCCGGGCACCGGCTCCGTCTGCCGCGGAACCGTTCCGCCTTCCCCGGTGCGTCCGAAGGACCCACAGGTGTATCCCGGTGACCGGCGGAGGCCTGGCTCTGTGTCCCACAGGACTTCCCTGGTGGGAAGGGCTGATCTAGCGCTGCAAACAACCCCCACCTCCTTTAGGGCACTTAACAGCATTTTCACCCACCCCCCTCCCCGATTTAGCCTGTTGGAAGGTAGTATCCTTGACGCTACTTCTCCATTCTCAGGTTCAGTTGAAATTGGCCAGCAGATGCCATGGTCCTGTGGAGGAAGGACAGCTACCAGACGAGGCAGGTGCACACGTTCAGACACTAAGAGACATAAGAGTCCTTTTCTTAGAAAAACTAGCTGAAAAGTAGAACTAAGTCGACGTTTACCATACATCATACTGGTCATTTTTCTTGTAGGATGCTTCCCTTCCAGGCTACTCCATCTTATACTTCCCTTTTGTGTCTACATTGTGTTAAGTTACCCATCTGCCAAACTAATGCACCAAAGCAGAATGGGGTTGTGGTTTTTCGGGTAACATAAATAGTAGCAATCTGCACTTTCACAAGTTATATCAGTTTCTCTGTATTTTTTTTTTTTTTTCGGAGATCAGCAGAAAGCACAGCTCCACAGCTCACCTGTTGCTCTGTGATCACGGGTCACCAGTGATCTTACTTTTTTCTCCTTTTGAGACAAAAGTAGTATTTTAAACCAGTGTCGCTTTAGCTTGTAAAATCTCCTTATTTGCATTTCCTTTCTCATCTCGTCCTTCCTCTTCACACCTTCCTACATTTCCCAATGTACTTTCTGGGAATCTTTTTTCTCTGTCTAATCTAATCTGAGTCCATGCACGTGTTGTGGATGTATTATATCATGGTAGTCTAAAAAATGGCTATGTTCTAGTTTCTTAAGCTTTTTCCATAAAAGGGAACCTTACTGAAAAGAGCAATGTGAGGCCTCTGCTTCCTTGGAGATTTGCACGACTATTTATTTCTTTTTGCAAGCTACTGTTCTTTAAGTCTCTTCCCTTGTGCAAGGAGCATATCTACTGGAACACTATCTGTTCTCCAAGCTGAAGCTGCTTTTCTAGAGTCTGCTCCACTTGTTACTCATTTTTCATGCTTTCATTTGCCAACACAGCCGGAAAAGTGGGTATATTCAAAATGGAGGAAGTGTTTCTGTGGAACAAGGGTTTGTATGAGCTTATCCTCCCTGACTTCACAATCCTGACACAATGTGATGTGTGACAGTGCCTTTTATCTCTATTAATTGCTAAATATTTCAGGAGGAGCAGCATATGGATGGTTACATTGAGCTTGGAACCATAATAGCATCATTAAATTGCACAAACCCTTGTGCTTTCCAAATGGCACTTTTTCTCTTGGGGCACAGAAACTAAAATGGCTCTTGAACAGGTGCACAAATAATTATTTTATACTTAGCCTGCTGTCCCCCTTCAATCTATTTGTCTCAGTTGCAGTTTTCTCTAAGCCAGCTCCATAAATCTCACTGCAGAACCTCTCAGAGTCTATTAATACTTATGCTAGCACACACAGAAAAGATGCCTGCTACTTTTCTTAAGGTCCCGGGCAAATCCCTGACTGGTACGTTGCTGAGATTTCTTTTCCCTTTGTATTTCAGTTGAAGACCAAAGGGATACTTGAACTGGCAGTCTCTTAATCTGTATTGCTTGTTCAGGTTGATTTCAGTTAATGGGCTTTGACTCAGACATCCCTCCCACCTCACTTTGGACAGATAGTCCCAGAAATGACTTTACCAGACTCATGCCTTGCCTGAAGGAACAGTTTATGTCAAGAGTCGACGTTTACAGCAGCTCAAAGTTTTGGGAATTGGTTTTGGAGAATACATTTTTTAAACAATAGGAAAAGTAGAGGCATGGGTTGATAAAGATAAGAGGTGGAGGGGATTGGTACATCCTACTTTGGATGCCTAGCCTTAGGGATTTACATTAGGAGTCTGCTCTACTTAGGCCAGTGAAGAGAGGAGCCCATGGAGGGCTACTCAGTGCCCCTAAAATAAGCTTCAGTTCTGAATTGCCCTCTGGAGGGTCTTCTCTCCCTCACCTCCTGTTTATTGTATAGAGATTGTTCAGAGGATGTGGAGAGATTATATGGAGATGAACTGCCTAATCTAGGATCTGACGCATGATTATCCCAGTTTTCATTTTGCCAATGCAACATGGCATTTAAATGTGGAGAAATCACTTGCCAGCACCTCTCTGGGAGTGATTTTGACGTATGCTTGACAAATGGAGATAGCTGTATTTCAGTGAAGCTACAGCTTCCAGTACAAAATGTGAATGCATGTGTTATTCCCATGACCTTACCCTGCAAACTCATGCAGCTTCATGCTCGCATTTTCTAATTCATATCCGCAAGTGCATGCAATGGCATTGGCTTGCTACCTACATTGTAGTTTCTGATAGGCTAAATCACCTATGGCAGTCCTGCATGTATTTTGCTTGCTGTGTGCATTCTGCAAATGCAGTCCCGTGCATGACAAATAGCACTGAATGTTTGAAGTCAGATGAAATTGAGCCAGAGCTATTGGTTCTTCCCTCCAAGTTCTGAAATGTTTTATTTGCTTGGTATTCATCTCTCTTTTCCTCTGGAAGGGGCGTCTGCAGAAGAATTTCCACCACAGAATTGTGTTTCATACATGAGCTCTGAGTTTTAACTATTTTAAAGAGTCAGGGGCTTTTAATCTATCTCATTAAAGAAGTTCTGTTGAGCTGTAAGACCAAGTTTGTCCAATGTTCTCCTTAAAATTAAGGCACTTACCTGGAGATATCAAAATCACTTCTGAACATATAAAAACGCATCTGTTTTTATGACTAAGATGTGCACTTTGACAGTCATATGGCTAGCTGATCCTGACCCATGGCTCTTAGACATCAAAACTAAAAGCACATGAAGATCAGGCCTGGGGATGTTTTGATGCACAAAGGGAACAACTCATCTTGCAGCTTTGGAGAAGCTGCCTTGCCTAGAGCCTTCTTTGCTCCTCCTCTTGTTATTACACTTTTTCTCACTGGCCTAGTAAGTGTAAAACTAGATATTGCTTCAGACCATATGGAAACACTGATAGCTTTTTTGCACAACAGTGAGAAGAGCTATGGTTAGAAATGTCTGCTTAAAGATCAGCTGAAACAGTTTTGGTTCACACAACCTGATAATATTGACGAAGGGTCAAAATTTGCTAATCTAACAGTAATTTTAAATCATCAGTAGGTTTTATGGCTTGTCAGAGTTGGGGAAATTTTGCAGAGCAAGCCATTGGAAACTGAAGGGGAGATAAGGAGAGACTAGTGGGTGGAAGCTGTCTGATTTTGTTTTCTGGCAGGAAGAATACCAGAGGGAATTCTCTTTCCCAGCCTACCACCCCCATTTTTTCCTTATTTACACATTGATGCATGATTTTTTGGTGTCTAGCATTTCCATAATGCAATCTGGTAAACCTAGCACAGCTGTTTGAAAACCTGCCTGTTATTTAAGATTGCTTTACTGTGCAAAAGCTCCGATTTCACTTGCTAGCCTTCCCATTTCTGGGATAGGGAATGGCTATAAATATGGAGTTAGGTGTCACAGTTGCCAAAATTTATTATGGAGAGGTTTGCAATAACCTTCTCCCCTTTGCCCTTTATATATCTTCGGTTTTCTGCAGGGTAAAGTCTATCTTTCCTGATATTTTTGGAGAGTACCTAACACACCAAAGCAACTTTCCTGTCTGTGATCAAGTACTTTTGTAACAGGAGAACAAAACAAAACAAATAACCCAACCTAAAGCTATTGATCTTCATGGAGCATTATAAAAGCTGCTTATGTAAAGCTGTTTTGCAACCATCGCAGAGACACAGTGGCAAGCTTGGAATTTTGCTGCATACAGAAGCAAAATCTCCCCATGTTTCCTATGGTATCCCATTTGATGTGTAAATTGCCTTCCTTGATAATGTAGCTTGGACAACAAATATCTTTCTGAGTATTCTTTCTTTGTAAACTGCAGGACGAGTACCAATCATATGAAACTTTTTTTTTTTTTTCTGCCACAAGCAAATTGAATTAATCAAAGCTTGTTTAATTTGAATCCCTTTCTACTCCTTTTAGGAGTAATTATTTAAACTCTTTAAATACCAAGTGACTCCCTTCAGCTCTCTTGTTTGACTTGGAGTTCTTAATCAATTATGACATTTAATTTTCAACAGGTAAATTTCTGTTATTGAGGTGATTAAATACTGCATTTGTGGTCTTACTTATATATATTATAGAGCAGTCCACCACAGCTTCCCTGTCACTGCTTCTAGTCTTTCCTCCCTGTTTTCTCTGTCTCCCATTTCTACTTCAGCCTCCCATATCCTGAAATTTGGTTCATAAAAACTTCTCAGCTCTATTATGCTGTTCTGATTTAGGACCAGAGGTCCAAAACCAACATGCAGGGTCATTGGATCATGTCTGCCCTGTGCCCTATAGTTCCTTCCTTCCAGTGATTGCTGCTTACTGTAAAACCAATCTGTTTTTTGCTTGGTTGGTTGGTTTGTGGGTTTTTTTTATATTATTATTCCTGCTACAACTCCTGCAGCATTACTCACTCCACTGATAGTTAGAA